TATTTAGATTTTATTTTCTCTCGCGCTCGCTTCTCTCCGCTCGGTGTTTTTTTCCGTCGCGATCACGAGGAGAAATGTGCGGCGACGGCGGTGACGCGCGTACGCTATAAATAACGAGGCCTGCAATTATTTTCGGGCACGAGGCGAGAGAGGCGGCCTTCGGTTCTCCGACATCGACACAGTCCTCGTCCTCCTCGTCCTCGTCGCCGTCGACGGCCGTGCGAGGGGACGTCTCGCGCGACGAACCGGCTCGTCGGCGACAGAGGGGGAGAGGGAACGGGGGTGGGAGGGGGAGGGGGGGGTAGGGACGGGACGAGATGGGGAGACAAGTCGAACTTGGAGATCGCGGCGTGCCGCGGACGACGAGCGGGGCCGACGTTACGCCGCCGCTTAGGTTAACATAACATTATTCACGGCGCAGCATACACACAGACTCTCTCCGCGGGAGAGCGTATTGATTTTCACGCCCCGTATCTGTGCGCGCGTATCACAGCGAGCCGGCGAGGACGACGTGTGCGGTGCCGACGAACGCGGCCGCGGATACGCGGCACGACGGCGCCCGACGAGGACGAGCGGTCGAGGGGCCGTCGGCGGGGCGACGTCGGGCCTGGCGAGGCACGACGGCGGCGAGTCCTTCGGAGAGCGCCGGAGTCACACGACTTGGGATTCCTCGCGTTCGGCCGCGCTTCCGTCAAACACACTTAACACTCGCACCGCGGTCACATTGTACCTGCTAATTGTTTCCGTAATAACAGCGCGGACTGTGGCTCTGACATTAATAAAAGTTCAGTTAAATAAGACTAAGACTGAAAACAATCACTTTTGCTTGACTGGAAAGATGGCTAGGTACGTCACGGAAGCGGTGACCACGCATGCGCCACTGGCTAAACATATGTTCTTCCGTCCCGAGCTGTGCGCCGGCCTGATGCACCGCGTTGGCGGTGCTGCGCCCGGCGACGAGCGGTCAAAGCTCCGGATAAAACGTAGCGACTTCGAACTGTGAATAAAGCAGATCATCGGTTGGTAAAACATATATCATATATATGAAGCGCCGATCAATGAAACTCTAATCAACGAATGGTAAAGGTATTTAAAGTGCAGCAATGATGCATATATGCGATACTTGATAACTTGCAAAAATGAATTCTAAAATGTGACGAAAAAATACAAACTTAATATAGTGTATTAGTGAAAATAATATGAGAACTAAATAATAATTAAATCATATGTTGTTATAGTCTTTTTTAAAAATAAAATTATAATCATGAATTATAATTGTTTTGTTTAAATAGAATTTAATTTTGGCGAACGAAATAAGTTTATATTATAATTATACTAATTACAAAATATAATATTATAAAAGTGCATATAGTGTAAAAAAATAATGTAAAAAGTTTATAAGAAAAAATTGTATCATAATTTTTAATTTAACATATATTTAATATTTTCTTAATTTTAATAATTATGGAATAATCTCTCAAAATAAATATGTACAGTAGATATAAATAATATAATATTATAAAAAATTAATATTATAAATATATTTTTTATATTTTTAAAATTATAAATGTCTCTCTTATTTGAAATAGAAGGATATCTATAAAAACAAAATGTTAATACCAGTTTTGTATTGTTTAACACGAAAGGTTATTTTTAATAGAAAGAATTGTTAATGACAAATCGTGTATTAAGATATTTAATTACATTTAACTATTATACTAATTTAATTAAAAAAGTAATTAAAATAAGTATTTTTGAAATTTGTATTGCAGTATTATAACTGCATACTATTGCAGTAATTTTACGAGAAATTAGAAATACTATACAAGATGATTTATATAGCAAATGTAAAATAGTTTTTTTTTATTTTTATTATGACGAGTGAAGAAAGTATTTATCCCCTCTTATAAGTTTCTAAAAGAAAGGAAAAATCGCTTATACGCGAAAAAATCTGCCTGATATGAAAAAAAGGGGTAAAGAATAGAAATGGATGAGGAGGATCGACGTTATGTATCTTTGCCTTCTCGGCAATTTCGCACGGTTACATTCGAGATTTATGGCCCGATTTCGATTCCATTTCGCGCCGCGGTTTGTTTACTTATTGGCATCCAGAATATGTACGCGGGCTGATGTTACGTCCAGGTTTGTATTGCTTCGATGCTATCATCCAGATTTATCTATTGTGCTATTGAGACGAGACGGCGGAATGGAGATGATCACGCGATGCGAAATTCAAACATCTCCCCATAAATTAACACTTAGACTCAAATATTCATGAATACTATACTTAATTTACTTTTTGCTTTTATACGCGAATATTAATTTACACTTTTTGTATTTCTTTGGAACAAATATTCTGTAATAGATTTGGAAAATTGTTCCAAACATAATAATCGAATGTTTTGTATTAATAAGCTTTAAAACGCATATTTTTTGATAGTTAGTTATTATTAATAATACAATTAATTAATTTTTTAAACAAGTTTATTGGCATTTTGACTAAAACTTAATGAAATTATTATTTCTTTTTTGTTACTTTCTATTGTTGATTATGTATCTTTAATGCTTGCTTATATTTTCGTTTTTTATTTTTATTAGGCCCGATTGCACCAACGTTTTTTATTTACTTTAAACGAAGCTTAAAACTCTATTTGTCTTTTTTTTTAAACTTTGAGAGAGAGAGAGAGAGAGAATTTTAAATCTCGTTTAAAGTTAAAATAACACTGGTGCAATCAGGCCTTAATGGGATACAATAACAGACATATGATAAGGTTTGATGATTTAATTCGGCCGGGTGCATTCAATTGCATTAATTACGAAATTGCTTCTTGAACGGTAAATTACTTTATCGTGTCGATATACTTATCTTATCTATATCAATCACGATACATTATTGTCATACAGTATATCTTTTACCGACGGGAACATTTCTATTATCGTTGCTTCTTAATTACTCCGAGCGGCATTAGTATTCATCGCATGATTAGGCCTCATATCGAATTAGACGGAGTTACGGCGATAAAAGATTTAAATCATTTTCAATCCCGTTGTATCACTGGATCGATAGGTCTAAAGCATATTGGCTTTATAAATTCAGTACCGTTTGCACTGCAAATTGTAATCGCGAGCGAGATGTACTTATTGTCCGAAGAAATCATCTCTATGTCAATATGAATAATTTTTTCGTGTGTTTTAACAAATATAACACACGTGAAACATGAATATACAAAAAAAGTTTCGATTTTTATGCTTAAAACGATTGATGATCAACATTTACAAATCCATGTCTCCAAATTGTTTATTCTTCCAACTTTTATACGATGCTTCATTTAAAATCGAAGAAGAGTTAAAATTTTTCACTTCTTAGCAGTATATTTGCATCAAGAGAATTAGTAATATCATATTGGTGGTAAGATAAGGTACGTGCGAGTGAACGAATGGAACGAATAAAGATTAACGATTAGACACAGATCGTTACACCGACGCATGATATTACCGAAGATGAAAAGGTTGATTATAATTTATTCTTACGTACAACCACCGACGAGATACTATTAGAGATTGACAATCTTATGGGGATTAGCGTGGCTGTTAAAATTTGTACAATTAGCCACTAACAACTAGCCAATAACAATAATTGCATACAAGACCGCAAATATTTTACAAAAAATTGAAATATATTAAAATATATTTTAATTTTTTTTTGTAAAATATTTTCATACTAAATTGCTTCGATCAACGTTTCTCCACCTCTTCCGAGGCGGTCGAACATTGATCGAAACAGCTGTGAAAATATTTTACAGAACAAAGAAAGCTTACGCGATCATTTTCAAATCGATTAAAATCGATTTTAGAGTTATATTCTTCTGAATTTGAACCTGAATCTTTGGCATAGAAAGCCACACAGTTCTTCACGCCACGATCGCCGATATATGTATATATAAACAATAAGGAGAAAAAGAGCTAAATATAACCGAGGCAACATATTGTCCAATAATCTTAATTTTTAAAGTCTCAGTGATTGAATAGATAAGACACCCTGATAGAATGGGGAGGTTTAGGTTCAAATCCTGGCTGAGGTAATATTTTTCTCAATAAGTTATTTTAAGATGCTTGCTGGTATAATCATCGAATCCATTTAATAGAATTTAATTAAATCAATTTAATTTGTAATAATATTTCAGGTTATAATTGCGTTCTTAAAAACGATAGTAATTGGCGCGCGATTTACAATAGCTATAAAGTTTAAAAGATTTAAAAATTAAAAATATTGGATAATCAACATTTAGCCTCGGCTGTATTTGACTCTTTTCTCTTTTATTAATAATATAATATTAATTTTAGTTAATAATATTAGTTAATAATATTAGTTAATAATATTTAGTTAATAATATTAGTTAATAATATAATATTTATTTTATAATTTATTATTAGACAAATGTTTTTTTAGTACATATATTTACAACTTGATAATTTTTAATTTAATTTTATTTCAAACTGTGTCAAGAGTATAACAGTGGAAGAAAAAATTGTATAAGTTTTGCGGCTATATATATGATATTACAGCATTATAAATACTTATAGAGCGTTTGTATAATAAAAATCATAATTTTAGTAGTGCCTTATTTAAATATTTATATTAACTGCAATCATAAATTTATATATCAATAGTCGATGGTATCGACACTTTTCAATTACCTCTAGACTCTCAGGTCTCTTTAATATCACGAAAATTTGCTTAAGATTTAGTGAAATGGTCTTTAATAATATCTCGGCGGCGGTACAACATACAAATCAATCAGACATATTTTTCAAAGCCAATAAAAATGTATATAAAATAAGAACTATGAAAATCAGCATTCTTAAAGAAAGTTATCCACATTTGACTGACGTTTGCATATGGTATACATAAAAAGACATTAAAATATGTATATAGTACATAAAAGAACACTAAAATACAATAGTATGTTCATATATGATAAAAACTCATTGAAATTTTTGATAAGTCTTCTTTATTATCTCCTATCGTAGGATACATTGCTTGACAAATGATTATACAGACGTACAATACCCAGCAAATTGTTCACTTTGTATTTTACAATTTCGTCGGCCAATACTCCGCACCTTGCTCGCCTTCACAGCTATTTACAGAATATAAGACTTTAGTTTCGGTGTACAACGTATGGAATCTGAGATACGATAGTATGTCCGCCGTGTGTACGCCTAACTGTGCCTGTCTGACTATCTTTCAGTTCCCTGCATCTCGGATATTTCTTAAATAATCGATTCCATTAAAAAGAAATGTTTAACACGATAAAAATTGTGCGTTATTCCTAGCATCGTCGGACCTTATCACGTCGGAAATCTTGAACTTCGTTCCAGATGCTTGTGTATCTTCCGTCGGAATGCATGATCGTCGGAAAAAAAATGAGTTCATAAGCGAACCTCGGAAAACTTTAACTATGATTAATTCGCGGACACAGCAGGTCGCTATAAGCGTATAGAAAACTTTGTTTTGATCGACGATGCGCGCGAAGTTTAGAGAATCAGACATTTATTAAGATTTCCTCTGCTCGCGCAAAGAATTATTGAGATGATTTATGAACAGAGAGCACGGAAAGGATTACTGTCGCATTGTACGTTACTTAGCAAACATCTTACATTTCTCCTTTTCAGAATCTAACAAAAATAATTTAGAAATTTCAAAGTTATTTACTTAAAGCTTCTCGTAAATCAGATAGCGCCGTTAATTTTTCAAGAAAACAATTATTTATTGCAGTATCTCTAGACAAACTCGATTACTGTACTTTCTCCTGAGTGGATGAGAAAATCAAAGTATATATTTTATGCAAAGTTTTCGTCTTTAACGTAAACCAACAGCAAAAATATTCCCTAAGTTCCGTTAACAACAGAACTTTAATTACACAAATAAAATTAAATCAAATTCAGATCAATACATCGATTCTTGCATATTTGCAACATTCAATTTCCTCTCACATCGACGACATAAATAAATCGATATCAATTGATATTACAATAATGGAAAATTTCTTAAATTCTTTGTTGTGGTTCAATAACAAGATCTAACAAGAGTTTTCCACATTCATGTCTATTACATTCTAGGACAATATCGTATTTACAACCGTGAGCTTTAGTGAAAGCGATCGACAAGCGAGTCATGACGAATGCGACTCGAAATAACTGGACTTGACGTTCTAACGATAAATACTAATATGTTATCGTACAGTCACATATTAATGCTATGTACAAGTAATATTTCATTATCGTCATCGGTACATATTGATATACTCGCTTTATGAACAAAGGCTTGCAGGTTTGATTAAGTTAAGAGATTATGCGTTTTAAAAAGAAGTGGCACAATTAAAGATATAAATAGAAATATTCACATTTTATATTACATTAGCGGGACAGTAACGTAATAAACAATTATAAATTTCTTGTAATGAGATGAGGGACGAAAATACGGATCAGTAGTACACTTGATTGCATTTAATATCAATTTGTGCTAAAATATTATAGTACTGAGACACAGTACACTTTTGATGACGGCACACTATAAGACTTGCGATATAGAAGGACGGCAGAAGCAAATCTCGTTAATTCATTAATTACGGAAGTTGAATTATCGTCGGAATATTGTTGCAACTCAGATATTTATAAATGAGATTTCACCTCTATGATATCTCTTCCGAGATTTCTCCTCTTCTACAATTTCTCTTCGACGTTTCGCTTCGGCAGTAAAGATAATGATTCCTTCGGATAGCAAAACACTTATGTATTCAATGTTTGCCTCAAAAATATATAAATAATTATTTTGTTCTCTTGAAGAAATACCATTAAATAATCGTTCATTCGAAAGTGTTCGAGCTACGCGGAAATGGGAACAAAATGAAGCGGGATGAAAATGAATAAATTAGAAGTAAGCACATTGATCAAATATTGCTAACTTTGTGCTGAAGTGAGTTTGCCTTAATTTAGTAGCACTTTACCCAGGTCCTTTGAAATGATAGTAGCCAGAAGTAGCAAGAACACTAATTGCCCTTAGCAGAAGCGCAATTGAGTACCAAGAGACATAGATTCGACTTTCTGAAGTTTTCGAAAACTCGCCGGTTCACAAGGCTGATTCGCGCCCAGAATGAATATGTAAGGCGACAGCAGAAAACCATTAATTCCGTTAAGTCGGCCGTTGGAAGGTCGGGCTGGCTTTGCTTTCCTCCTCTCTCTCTCTCTCTCTCTCTCTCTCTCTCTCTCTCTATTTTTTTCCCAAGGCTGAAACGCACCGATGAGGCTGAATCCCGTGGCGTTTGACTTTCATTGGATATTTCTCGTGCAAAATTGTCGCGCTAAAGTTTCGTGTCGACCATCGAGAGCTTTGAACTCGGTTATATTTCCCTAGAGTACGACAGAGGAAACCGGAACGTAAGGGCGAAAGATGAGGAGCTACATAGGAAAGAAAATCCTGTGAAAGGAGAGAAGTCGACCTGGACTTTTGCCGCGCTGGGACTTCGGCCTGGACTCATAGACGGCGTTATATATGGACGTAAAAAATTGCTAGCCACAATCTGCTACATATATTATAATACGGTAATTATGCTAATCTAGGAAAATAAAGACGCTTTCTTTCGTCTCACTGCTTGCAAGATAACGTATACTCACAATCCGTTATAAAACTATAAATAAAAGAAGTAATAAAAAAATTAATAAAAAAGTAAAAGAATAGAAATGGGAGAGTCATATTTTCATTCTTTTTCTTGTTAAGAATAATATGATATTTTTGTGAAATAGTATTGAATGTTATGTAATATTCGCACTGAGGAGCTAAATAAACAAATTAATATCAATCCAAAAACTTAAGATTGCGCATACAGTTTATTCTTTTTTTTTTTTAATTTTGTTCTTCGTCTCGAGTAGCAAAGTGATGATACGATATATATTTCCTTGATATAGCCAAATTCACTTACAATTAACGAATTCAATATCCGCAGTGAAAAGTTACGTCAAACTTTAATTCGCTTCACAAGTTCACCTCGTAAATGAGTCTATTATCTCGAGAGGAAACTTCGTGAAAGAATTAAAAGTGATCTAAAATAGCACGACTAAAAGAAAACCGTAAGTTCTATCATACAAGAATATCGATTGATAAAACTTTAATCAGAAGGTTGTGCAAAATATCGATCGCGCGATATTATTCTCCTATCTTTCTTTTTTATTCTTTTTTTTTTTTTTAGGTACCCTATCTTTAACCAAGGAATGCGGCGGCCAACTTTTAAGCATTTTCCTCCGGCATTCGCAATCGTGACACGCCGGCGGTTATTGCACGATTCCTCGCGTACACGGGGACGTATATGGAAAGTTGTAAATAGATTCTCGCAACAAATCGCCGTAGCGCCAGCTTGGAGCAAGCGCCCGCTCCGACTCGAACTCGAGTGTGAGGAAGTTTGTACGGGCGGGTAGGTTGGATCGATGGCTGGATGGCCTGGTACGAGCACCAAAGTAAAGTTTGTCTTGGCTGCCGGCCACGACCCTCCATCGAATCACCGACGGAGTGATAACGATAACTCTAGCAACTGCTCAAGCCAGTATCGATTGTCATTAGACACCGTACGAAATTCTCTCGCCTGCAGAGTTGCACGGCGGGGAGGGAAGGGGGAGGGGGAGGGAGAGGGCCCTACACAGCCTTCTCAGCGATTCGCTCGACGCTTTTAATATTGAGGTGACGTACGTACGATCGCTCGTAAGTGAAGAGACGGCCGACAAAATCCCTTATACTGTATGATATGTTACAGGAAACAGAAGAAGGGACACTTTTTAAATCGCTCCGGGACCATATCGTTCCTCTGCGTCGCCCGTGACAAGGTTTCGCGTCGGTACGGCGCAGTTTTCACATCATACTCGCTAAGAAAAAAATTTATCTAGTATAAAAAAAATACAAGTTGAATTTAACATATATTTTATTCTATCTTTATATTAGATTTTAAATAATATATAATCTATGTTCGCGCGTAAAGAGATATGTAAAGAATATTTATAACGTGGCAACGTAGGTGTGGCATGCACGTAATATTAATCGCCGCGCGCACAGGTCGCCCGCGCGCACGTAGCGAAAATAATCGTTTACTAGCTAATTCACAGTTACGCTTTGTTTTTACGCACTTTTTCTCGTATAGACTATTCGAGTATCAATATGAAAGAATGGGGATAGTCGTCCTAAACGCAATATCCTTAGGGATTAATGCTTATCCATAAGTACCTTAGTTATTGTTCTTGAGCACAGAATTTGATTTCATTGATTCATTCATTCATTTGATTCTAGCGTCCAGCCGATGGCAGTATAACAAACAACACGTTTCTAATTATTATTACAATATTACAAGACTCGCTACAATTGTCGTTGAACAAACGATTGCTTGTCTCGCGGAGTTAACATTACATGTTAAAATATTCCGTGAATTCTTTTTCCACATTCAAACAATCAATCTTTGAATGGTTCCTTCAGTCACTTAGACGCGACATTTCTTCATTTGCTCATACCATTCGCGGAAGAAACATAATCTTTGTTCAACGACAATCGGGTTGCTATCTTTGCAGCTTTCCACGTACGGCAGTGTGATTGAAATTACAGTTCGGAGTAGAATCGCGACGACGTAGGAAAAGTGACAGATCGATCGATAAACGGGGTACGCGCGCGAGTAACCGCGTACGTGTGTACCTTCAATCTGTCCGGAGAGCTAGACGCGAGGATCGATAGCTTAGGTATATTACAGACAAAGAACGCGTTTACTTCGTGAACGCTTAAGTACGGAAATATAAAAAATCCTTACATGTCCCTATCTAAGTAGGCGTGTAGAAACATTAAGTCGGTCCCCGTTCGCAAGTCAGGACGTCCTCGAAATCTCATTGAATATTAAGCGAGTGAGCTACGCTCAAGTCTACGGGAACATCCGGATTGATTTCGCTCAAACGACTTCGCTCCATGTGTTTCGCTCGCTAAGGAATCGATGTCAAGCATAAACCCGACATTATCGGAAATTAATTTCACTTAAAAGATTTCGCGTGAAAAAAGAAAGACTTTTTCGTGATTTACTGTGAAATTACGTGATATTATTATTCGAAAGATATGTTAATTCGCCGAAGATCGTTGCCGGATCTGCTGCAGTTTTTTATTACGAATCAGACTTTCGCGAAAATGGAATTGAATGGTAAAACGAAATAGTGAAAGTACTTTCTGCAACACAACTATATCTCGAGAAAAAATCTGACAAATCTTCAAAGTATATGTTTAGAATTGCATACATGCATATCTGATGTGTATATCTTTTTTATTTACATTTATGTAGAAACATTTTCAAAATTTTATATTAGTATTTCGTCCTTTTGCATGGAATACCTAAAACATTCTGTAAGACACTGTGTTTTTTTAAGGCGTTATTTATATTGAAGAAATATCAATTTTTCAGTCGATTCCGTGGCTTTCTTAGGAAACAGCAGCGGTACGTGACGCGAATAAAGAAGATAGGGAAATAAAAGAGGAGTTTCAACATTTCCGCGCACGAACAGCATACCGTCCGCGAATGAAATGCACCATTGCCCCATGGGAAATTATTTTATGCCGGTCATTTGCTCTATTCATTTTATCGACGACGTAAACGTAATTTCCTGTCGTTAATGTCAGTACGCGGAACGTCTGAGTCGTAATGGATAATTACTCATGGCTTCAGCTCCGGAATTTTATACTCTTCGTGATTTCTTCAATTAATCCGTATTACTTTAAGCTACACGATACAAAGCGACTGCATTTACGAGCAGCGACTTTAAATGGCGCGTCTGTATCGTGAAACTCTACGTATCTTTGATAATAATTTGCGTCCTTAATCAGCATAAAGTAAACTTTGGCAACGCCATTTGCATTTAGCCCTTCGGTGCGTAACATTGTGTTTTTGTGTGGTAACTTCATATCGTAGCAATATCCAGCGAACATTTATTAAAGACACTTCAAAATTAACCTGGCAATGTCTGGTGGAAGTTCAAGAAATTTCTACGATATTTGAGAGACTTTGCCCACTTTGGTTGCCTCTTACTTAAAACTTATACAGTAAGGTACTGTATAAGGTACTGTATTAAAATGGCATATACAGTTATAAATATATTATTCGTAAATTAGAATCACTTATATATATTTTATAGAAACAGAAAATATATCAATGTTATATCGCGTTTTTGTTTGAATTATAATCGTGATATAAGTTTTGAAATAAAGGGAACAGTGCAGAAAACAAAACAATAAAAAAATAAAATTGCAAAATTTTTATTTTTATATTAATTTCTGTATTTTCATCGTATACGAGCGAAAATGAGATCTGTCTTGTATCGATTTCAAGGAGGATGTCCTACTTGCGTCAACGGTTTAAGCACTTATCATTTTCGAATTTTTCGAATGTGCCCTAGATAACGCTTCGCATATGTTCGTTTATGCTCATTAGTATTAATGGAATTAATAATTCTATTATTAATCGTTGAATCTAGACACGTAAATAATATAATGAGCTAGTTTAAAAAAACGTTAAAAATGTATAATCGTTTATTACGTCACGAAAAAACGATATTAGTAGATAACTTCAATGAAATTACATAATAATTAGATTTTTTTAACTTACATGTCTGAAAAGTTTTACAACACTATTTCCTAATAAAGAAACAATGACATAAATTTTGGACACCGTTATTTTCGTGATTTTATTAAAGTTGTTAATGCGTGCCTTAACTGTAAATTCAACGTTAATAATAGACAAAAACGTCTTCTCTGACGTCTGTCACGATCTGACAACACGATTTTAGCATATACAACATGTTATATATACCTATCCATCTGAGTTACGATCCGTAAAAACGCTGCTGGGTAATCTCCAGTTGATTGAACCCGGCCGCCGGACTGTCAATCTCCGGAAATCCGCGTCCAAGTTTCACATTTCCGTATTTTCCTCGGCCTCCTCGTCGACCTTGGGCAACATATAGACGGCAGAGATCGGCGGGACGTGATCCTCGAGCTTCAGGATCGGCTTGCAATCTCTAGTAACGTCTACCTGATTGAAGGTGTCCTTCAGGATGTTGATCTCGTTCTCGTGCGCGAATATATTGGTAGGTGGTTCCGTGCCACATATATTGTTCTCGTCGGTGCCGCTCCTGTGGCACAGATTGCCCGACGGAAATTGTCACGAGGTCAGCGCGAACGGGTCCGTCGATAGCTCGTCTACGGACGAGCTCGGCTTCACCGGCTCCGGCTTGTCCGTTTGGTGACTCAGCCGATGGACGATCTCGTCGTGGAGGATGTTGAAGCACATCGCCGTCAGGGCCATCCCCGACATTATGTAGCAGGAGCAGAACCAGACTGTCACGTTTCTCGAGTCGGCGAGGGTGTGGCGAGGATAAGAGCCGGGCACCATGTCGCCGAAGCCGATAGTGCTCAGGCTCATGAAGCAGAAATAACTCGCGTCTAGATGTGAAAGAAGCGCTGGCCGTTAGCTTTCAGAGAGTACGAGAGCTTTATATCTATCGTATATATTGTGTTTACGTATATTGCGCTGCGTATATTACATCGCGGAATTTATGCCAATCTGATACGAGCATACGGAGAAAATACAGTCGCGTTAACTTTTTTGAAGTGGCTTTAAAGGCCATTGACTGATATATGTTTATATCGGAAACTAGCGGAATTCACGTTGAAAAGTTGACGCAACGCTGAACTCAAGGTTTATGAGGGTTTTTTTCCCCGACACGGACGGGACTTACCCACGAATGACCAGCCGTCCAATTTGTGCAGAGTGAATGCTCCGGCAATGATGTAGCACAGCATCGCGCCGAGGCAGATACTGATTGGCGCGAGTATGGTGACGTTTGGCCGGTCGCCCGAGCCGAGACTCGAAACCTCGTCCTTCGGACTGGCCTTAATTTCCACGGTGCTGGTGAACGTCGATGCATTCGCGCGAACGTAAAAGGGCTCCTGCAGCTGTAGCTGTTGCTGCTGCTGCTGCGCCAGCTCCTCCTGCTGCCGCTTCTTCCTCATCCGTCGCTCTTTCTCCTGTTACGTATGAGAAAACACCCGAAAATGGAAAATCCGTTCGTTATACCTGCTCGTCGACACACACGCGAATCATCATTCCACCCGTGTGTACCAATTACATTCGTGTCGCGTCGCAACACTTTCGAGTTGAACGCCAACATCGTTTACACTCTTGTGTTTCGAGTGCCGGGGGTTTCCGAAGGCTGATCCAATTTTATTTGAATAGCGCTCTAACAATAACCAATCAATACTACGGTAGCGATTAATCCTTATCGATCGTACAGGACACGCGTATCCTGGCCTCGACATAGGCGCGATGCGTATGTCGAACCGATGCGACATATGCATTTCCCATCACGTATACCCGGGTTTGTTTAACGGGAGAAAGACCGTATCGGCTGACAGTTCGCGATTAAATTTTTTATCGGATAACGACGCGAAATTTTCGACCAAGCATGCCTATGTCGCTAACCTGCATCCGCCTCTCGTCGTAGCAACAGTAGCCGCAATTCGAGCAGAGGCAGCAGCAAAGAGCTCGCGTGAAGACGCCTCTGGCGCATCTCGACAAGAGGCCTCCCGCGCTGGACAAGTAGACCAAGGTCAAGGGTATCCCGAGACTGGCGTAACCCATCGTAGCAACTTTGCCCCAAGTGGATTTCGGCGCGATACTTCCGCAACCTGTGAACACGGAACAGAAAAGAAGTTTAAATTTTATCAAGAAGCTCGAAATCAATAAGATAATCGATATATATGAAGTATATTACAGCGGTATATCCGCGGCGGTATTTCTATCGACACAAGGAGCGTACAATACAGCGATATTACGATGGAAAAGAACGGCGATATAAAGCCACGGCAGTTAATTTCTCGCAATGTTAGCTTTCTGGATACTTAAAGGATAATATCCGTGGTGGTTTACTCACGCTAATTAACCACTGCGGTAATAAGAACTTTGTGTAATGTGGTATCACAAGTAAATTGATTTGTGTAAATGTGTGTATATGTACGTGCGCGGACGTGTGCGTGTATGCACATATGTAATGCGTGTAGGTAGGTATACGAACAAGCGCCTAAGGTGAGTTTGTACAGGATATGATACGGAAAATACTTCGTCTAGTTTTAAGATCATTTCTGTTAATGGGCTTAAAATCTTGAGTAAAATAAAAATGACATTTACACTGTTAAGTCTATAGTATTAAATTTAACTCTATTTGAGTCGTCACTGCTCCTACTTAATATATATTATAGTTATTTTTAAATAAAACGATGGAATTTAATGCAAACTTGTGTTAAATTTGTTTTAAATTATTTAACTCCGTTATTTTAGTTAAAAATTACTATATATTAAGTAGGAGCAGTGGCGGCTCAAATAAGATCAAGATAAATTTGACACTATAGATTTAATACAATGTATTATTGTTCGCTCCAATAATTTTGCTCAGAACAAAATATACTGACACGAGTTTTCTTATTATAATTCATGTTCCTGGGAGGAATCAAAATTGATTAAGTTACAAAATCAGTATCCAGGTCAACGGAAAGCCCGCGCACGGGAAGTTGAAACATAAAGCGTTCGTAAAAATTCGTAGAATTTCTTCGGTATCGTAAAAGCTTAAGTTTCGGCAAACGTCGATCAATCGTAATCTCCAAAAGCGGTTCTCGCAATCGAGCAACGGAATTTATAGTGCAGCAGCAGCGTCCAATCGGGTTGCTATTTCGGGGATGAATAAAAATATCTACGGTAAAAAACCTAACTAGAGTTTTTCTTCAATTTCACAAAACAATCAAAAGCGTTGTTTGATCAAGATACGAAGCTTTAATAAATTTTGACCCGTATCGCCGCGAAGCAGGAAGGGAGGCAAGCTGCATTAAAAGACTATTTTTCCTGTTGATGATTTATAACGTAAAATTTATCTGGTGACAGCTAATCGTTATCTCGACAAGTTTGTAGGAATAAACAGCAATATTTATACAATATATTGCCAGAGAGGAATGTCAATACTGTTGACATCTAGCATTACCTCACTTATTTTGTCGTAAAATTTTTTACAATATTGAAAATTGAAAATTTCTCACGATACAAATTATTAAAATGGATGATGCACTTTCTGTCATGAAAAATACTGACACGGTATATTAAATGTACTAATCTATGACATACACTGAAAGTGTCGCATACTGTGCACGATAATAAATATCCATTCATATCTTTTAGCAAAATGCAATTTTGCTAAGAGAAATGATACCATTTCAGAGTCATAAGACTTCGTATATTTTTTAAAGTATTTCTCACATAAAATATTTTTTTATTATATACAAGTAAAAAATTTCACTTGTACATGTGCATATATACGCACGTGTCGCCCCAAAAGCTTTTGATGAAATATTAACATTCATATGTTCTAAGTTGTTTACATCAATTAATTTTACTACCATGACGCGCGAAAGTTTCGCGAAAGCAGGAGCAGCAGCTTTAAAGCTCTATATTTTACGTGCAATCCTGATTATACACGATCCCCATTTTTCCAAACAGAATAATACGTTAAGTATTGTGGAGCTATTTTATCGCCGACAAACAGCGTCATTAATCTCCGCGGGATAAATAGAAGCTCATTCTTCCGCGGAAATGGGAGAAAAACGATACCTTTCCAAAAACGCGCGAGCTTTTAGCTCCCGCGCGGAGCTACCGTATTTGCGCATCGTTCAATCCCAATCCCGACAGGTCGGTCTTACGGACGAGCGATGGAAGCAACATAGAAGCGCAATATGCAGTTTGCGCGCGCGTTTCGCGAGTCAATCAAAAAAAAAAATTACGTGCGCGCGGGAATGAAAGAGAGACGGCGATGGAAAGAGAGTGCAGGAAGAGAGCGGGTGCGTTGCGGAGCGCGAAGGTCCTGGCGGGAGCTGAAAAAGCGCTCGGCCGAGATGCGGCGCGAATCGATTGCTCGATGCCGCTTAAGATAATGGATCGCCTATCGGAATTGCCCCCTGGTACGTATATGATAGTGGCAGCATCGGCTGCATCGCCGATGGAATTGCAGCCGCGGAAGCTTCGCGGCACGATCGCGAAGGCCTATTCGTCACTGTCCCGCCACCTTATCGTTCACGACGGCGCGACCCTTTCGGTCGCATGTTATCTGTTGTCATTTGTTAGGGGGACACAGTAGATTGTCAGCTTCGGTTTTATTGGCCGGCCGGAGTAAAAATATACCGCGCTCAATCAGAGGTGAGCTTTGTCGTGAGTACGGCTACACGCCGAGTATCTCGTTTCAAGCTGTACGTCTGTGTCTGCAGAAAAGACGTTGGAACGCGCGTATATATATAAGGCTGTAGAGCGTTGCACATTAAATGATGCATTTATATGAGCGTTTGTTCGTATTATTAAGTTTTCTCTGATTACAATGGCTCCTACGACGAGAATTATTAATTCGGACATACCAGCTAATCAATCATTGCGCGATAATAAGATCTTCATGTAACGTGTCACCTAAATAAATTGATTTAGGCGAATATACATGTGTACGTGTGTTTGTATACCCGTAAATATAAATGTCTGAGAGTTTGTTTGGCAAATGAAAATAGAAAGTAGTTTTTCCTAGTCTTGAAATTATTTTTATTATTTTTAATAGAACATTTTTATTACGCTCGCATTCACACACGGAATCATAGCACGGGATAAGCAATCGCTTCGGAAAGATATTGAAAACAATCCAAAAGATAACAAAAAAACCGATGAAAATTTGATGCTTCAGTGACAATTCCACGAAGCTCGAATATTTTGATGAGCGAATTTTTTAAACAAGCTGATCCAATGTTTTTTTCCAGCATTCGTATTTATTCTGTGTATATATTTCCTGCATGAGATATTTACATTGTTTCTCGTGCAACTCAGTGATTAATTTTTAATCTATTGAAAGGTCATACTGGATGGATACGTTTTTATTTTACCTGTAATATACGCCGTCAAAGACAACATGCGGTTCGCTGATACACACATATACGTAGCTCCTAATCCTGTACGTTATTTAATAATTAAATAACCATCTGTCACGATGTGTGACGCGATCTTGTTTTGGAAAAATTTATATTTTGTACAACCAAGTCGCGAGTGACACAATCCGAGGATTATAATAAATTCTGTGATAGAAATTTAGTTAGTGGAACAATCTCTTTGTAATATAAGAGTAATACATCTGGTCGTTTAAAGATGGTATCAAGAATAATAAATCAAACAACCGTATCTCATCTCGCTCGATGCAACCAACATCTCAAGCCAACCAAGTCGAAGGAACTGGATGGGAGGGGAATACCGACGTATGGAACAATAAAATTTAATTATCAGTTAGCAATAACATGCGCTTGCTGAGTTACTCATTCGCAGCCGGCGGTCGCGTACACGCCGGTATAATTCTAACCATGGCAATTCGATTGTCGTGCCATATAAAGGCACCGCTCTCGTTAAAATTTATCTCAGTCCTCGTGGTGTGTTGCACGACGCAGCGCATTTTTAAATATAACGAATATATTGTGTAATGTGAAACGTTTTACACATATAAACAACAATCGAATATTTTATTCCAATTTCATTGGCCTGACTCGGCCGATAATTCTCTACAAAATGATAGTGAATAATGTAATAACTATTATTTTCGTCGTCATAACTGGAACAGCATTCATGGGATGTGCACTTGCGGCAGTAAGTTTATTATGTCGACACATACTGTTAACATTTTAATAAAAATACTGATGGTACCGGAAACAATATTAGCGATTATTGTTAATCAGATATATACATATATATATATATAAAACAATATATATATATATAACAATAATATATATATATATAATTTTAATAATTCATACAAATGACTAAAGCAGAGGAAATTGTTACAATTTGTTGAATTTTAAATACGAATTACATATTATATTTTGTTAAGTAATTTGTAATGTAATAATATGAGATTTCCTATTTATTTCCAGGGCAGACACCGTCTAAAATTAAGAAAAGTAAGTGAGAATATAGGTCTCTTTGAAAATAATGTAATAATCTTAAAATGGGATAACGATACAGTTAAATACATGAATTTTGTGTATTATAATATAATTTATTTCTATCTATTTCTATTATGTATCGTAATTTAGTATAACGATAAAAGATGTTTTTGATTAAAGGCAATCGGACACAAATCTAATAGTGATGATGTTCTACTACGCGCTCTTTCGGACTTCAGCGTCGTACGAAGATCTTTAAATCCGATGATATTTAAACAATATAGCAGTTATAGTGGTATTCAATATTTGATAGAAGACGGAGAAAATGTTCCAAATGTTGAAAATAAGAAGAATATAGTAATACAGAAATTAAAATTCTCAGTAACATTCCGTGATAACATACTTTACATCTTCTCATATTTGCTTCACGGCCGTGAAAATGATTTAACGGACGAACAATACACACCCTTGCAGATGCTTTACCAGTTGCTCAAGAAGAAGATGAATTATATGTACAATTTATTACCTATTCTATCTAAATTAAATTCCGTAGACAAGAATCGACAGACAAGTATCATATTGTTGTCGCTGATGAAAAATCTACCAGCTTATATTCAATGCACAGCTAAATACTTGGCCAATGAGATAGACTCGGGGAGAATCGATTTAAATACGTTACTGCAACCAACGGCGGAAGAAACATTTGATTATCTTGCCAACATCGATTTAGACACAGTCTCGAAAGGTAATATTAAGAACGAAGAAATAAGAGGATACGATAAATTCTCAAATATCACCCAAAAAGCTCTTGGTCCGGTGTTTGTGAAGCTTCTCTCCAAGTTACAAACAAACAAGCTTCCTTTATCGCAAGAATTATTCAGTTTGATACTGATAAACTTACCAAATCCTAGCGACGATCCCGTGTTGGAAGAAAACATCAGATATCTGTATGATTTAACCAAAAATAATGCCATCGATTCAAAAGAATGGAGTTCGATTGGGAAGGATCCCGCTGCCCAGGATGCTTACACTCTTGTCTTTTCCGTCCTAACCAAGATTCTCAATTCAAACGTACCGATGGTCGTAAAGGACGCTGCGGCTTATGTGTATCATCACTTGAAGCTTGTAACGGTTCCAACTCACGTTAATACGGAGTTGAAGTACATGTATCATCTGCTTGAAAAAGATATAGATGTAGGAATGCTCTTCTCAGCCATTATTCCTTACGAGTTTGATGCAGATGCGATCCGTATGAAAAACAATCTATTAACATATTTTATGCGTAATTATAATAACGAGGATATGAATAAAATTCTCAAGGGATTCAACAAATTTGCCTTCAACGATGCCTTAGATCTTCTCTTGGCATTCCTAACGAGACTTACAAATCGCGTTCCAAGCTTTCCAAATATTAATACACAGATGCTACAACAGCCGGCCACGGCTCTGCTACCAGCTGTAATCATGAAAAGGTATTACAGAACTTTCACGCCGTTTGTGTCACCTGAAATTGATGTACTAATGCTTTTGGAATCTCTGAAGACTCCTGATATAGATCAGGAACTTCAGTCAACAATAGACTCTATAAAGATCGAGTTAATCGCTAAGCCACAGACATCCGTGCTTTTAAGTACTTTGATACCAACAGAGAAAGAAAAGTGTCCGACACCTAAACAGTGTTTGATAAATACGTTCCAGCAGGTACAGAAATTACAAGATAAAATACCTTTGACGTTAATTTCAAAAATTCAACACGTAGGATATGTTCTGAAGAGCATAAGTTCACAGCAGTATCAACCGAGGCAAAGCTACGCTACGCAATATACTATAAAACCAGTGGATGTGAATCTTTATCTAGACCGGGACCGGGAGAGTTCAATAGTTGCAATTGAGACAGATGGTGCGTATACAAATGTACCCACAAGTGGCTTCAGCGGAGTCCCGTATGTATGGAACATAGATAAATATGTCACCAAGATCGGTCCCACTGGGCAAGATGAATCGCACGTTGGACCTGTGGGATGGGAAACGGGAATTGCTACGTTTGTCGATTCTGAAGAAACGAAGATCATATCGCCAACGACAAACCAAGCACAAGTCACGGAGGCACCAGTCACCAAGCCGAAGGTCTTCGAAACGAAAATGACCGAGATGGAAATCTTCGAATATCTAACTACTCAAAAACCTATATCAGACCAGCCGTTAACTTCGAAACCTTCGACATTAACTAATATTCCTTCGTTGATGACTTATAAAACGCCGCAGAAATCACAGAAAAAACCACAAAAAGAACAGACCCAATATACAACATCTACAAGGCAAACTACTGTCGAAGAAGATCGTTCCGAAATAGAAGATACTCAAGAATCTACTACAGAATTAACATTCCATTATAAAGAAGTATCAGATCAACCGAGTTCAAGTGAGGAGTTTGAGAATCAAACTCCTCCATCGGAGGAAGAAATAACTAAAGAAGTCACAAAAGAAGTCACGACGAAAAAACCTTTCAAAATAACAACGACATCACGTACCAAAGCAAAACGTTTAGAGGAGATTGAAAAGAAAAAGAGTAATGAGAAAATTGCGATATCAAACGCAATACTACCTCCGACTGTAGAACACGATCAACCTCTTAAAGTGCAGCTATCCAATAGTGGCGTTCCAGTTGTAACGACAGATGATACTGAAAACACAACGGAACCCGGAATTGTTTTACCAGAAATCAAGACACTTCTGCAATCGCCGGATATAAATAATTTCATGAAAGATACCGACTCACCGATATTAATTCAAGTATTACAACCATTGTCCGTCATATTTGGCAAAAATTATATCAAGAAGATTGTAAAGGATATAGATACGAACAAATATCCCACGAATGTCGCGTTGTTGTCAGCGATACTTAAGAAAGCTCCGACTTATCCGCAAGTAGCAAAGAATTCGCATTTGATGAGCGTAATTAATAAATACACTTTCTCGATCGAATATGTCGGTCCGACGATATTATTACCCATTGTAGTCTCGTCCAAGAAGTTGGTATCAAATGTCGTGTATTCCACGTTTGATTCGGATGACTTTACTCATGGTGGAATTAGCGAAAGTCCACCTGATGAATCGTTATCCGACAAGGTCACCGTACCTCTCGTCAATCCTAAGTTATTGTTACAGTCTATAAATCCCACTAATCCTTACGCTGATTTGCTACCTACTTTAGAAAGAGGAAACGTGTATGCGAAAACGATACAACCTCTCAAAATAATATTGACAACGACGAAAATTACGCAAATACTTGGACCAGATTTCGATCCATTGGTATATCCAAATAAAATTGCACTTCTGATAACGCTTTTGTACAAACTGCAGAAAAGTAAAACAATTCAATCGAATCTGAAGTTAAAATCCTTAATTGATAATTATATACAAGCTATTGAGCTACCGTCGATGAACGTTGAAGTGTCTGAAGATAGACTCGTAAAAATGATGACCGAAACTACAGGTCAGTGGCAACCCGAACTGACAAGTTTGATTGCTGCTCTTCGAGCACCCACGAACGATAATGAAGAGGCCATGACAAAGGAGATAGAGCAGTTCCTCGACGATCCAACTCTCTTGGAAAAATTGAACATAGCTAAACCACCATTGACTATGACTCGCGGAGAACTTATACAGAAAATAATTGTGAGTGCATTGTCCGGTACGATACGTTTCGAGAAACGTCTTCTGAAGGCGCTCAGATATTACAAGGACAAAGTGGAATTCACCGAAATGGGTACCCTGCCCATCATGTGGGTGTGGGTCGAAACGTACACAGTTAAGGCTGAAATACAACTAGGCGACATGATCCAACAGACAGTGAACTTCGATCAATTGACGTATAAGGAAAAACTAGCGTATAACGATGTAATCACATACTTAGCTCAAAACCCCACTCTTCTTCAAGACAACGAGGACTTCGATTTTGAGAAGTATAAAACGCAAGGGCAATTTGTTAAGGGTTTATTCAAGCATTTGCTGAAGAAGTCGCAGGTTAATAATAAGATTAAAAGGAACATTGAGATGATACTTCCACGGGTGTCGCAGACTGGAGCGGGCGCAATCACGATGCCAACTTTTTCAAGTATTTAAAAGATCAGTAGATTTATTAAGTAAAATATAATTCATTAATTAAAGTGCTCTAATTAGAGAAATATGATCTGAGTTCACAAGAAACAGAAAATGAGTATTATACAGATACGTCTGAAGACGAGTGTGTGCTTTGTAATAAAGAATTAATCCGAGATATTCTTTTATTTATAATGCTAAACAATTTGCCATATTAAATATTATCTCATAAAGTTTTTAATATCGCAATATTGTGTGCATATAAAATCGATTATGTAATAATTTAAGAAGAATGTAAGTCTGTTTAGCGCAAAAAAGAGGAAAATAGAAATAGAAATGAGAACTTTATATATATTTGTTAAGTTATATAAAAAAAGCTTATAGAAATTTTGTAAATAATCTGTAGTTAGATCCTCTTTTATTGGCAAAATTGACAAGAATTTCTCCGTGCAAAGTTTGAGATTGATACTTTTCGAGTAAGTGACAATTATTTGTAAATTCTCGTTGGCAACTATAACACTCGAAAGTTTATTAAGTTTCACTTTAGTAGGACATTCAAAGTGTGCCCCAAATCGAACCTCTCTTTCCCTTTCAATCCTGCAGATATAAATGCACACATGTAGGAAACTAATTTCTATGCAATTCTAATTTATGGATACAACAATTTATATTATAACCATAATTATATTTTTGCGAATATTAACTTCGTAGATTTAGATACTTTTCTATTTTCTAAAAATGTGGATAAAAACAGATTAATTAATTTATGTTAATTGTAATGTTAATTGTAATTGTGCACAAAATATACATGGTGACTAAATAACTAAATAATGTTTGATAGAATTCCAATCAACAACATTCTAAGAATCTAAATCAATATTGTATCTGTTGAGATGTATGACAAACGCTATAATATAGCGCAGATACTTGCAACAAGTTCGCAGCAGCTAGCTAAAGTACGCGGCATCACTACAGCTTCATAATGTATTCTAAGTAGCCATAAACAGTTCGGCAAGTAAAATGAGCCGCGTAAGAGAAAGCGATTGGCGACGCTTCAAGTCTATTCGCGTTTGTTCGTTAATTGCTCCATCCGCGAGAACTTCAAACTGCCGTCTTGAAACATGCTGTAATAATGTAAGCGTCTTAAGCGCATCGCAATATGTCTAAAAAAATGAAATATTTTATTTATATATAAATAATCAAAGAAGTTGTGGAATTAATTGGCAGATATGGTAAACAGTGCGCGCGTTATAGAACATCTGATTTCCTTTTCTACTTTGTCTTCAATCCGTAGTTCAATTCGCAGTTTTGAAGTATTACGAATATTAATATATTTTTACAATCTAATGAAATCCCTGCACACCGCATTATGCATTCAAAAATGGAACGGAATGGAAGCGCGCGCACAATTTAAAAAAAAAATAAATAGATACGCAGGTCGATGTAACGAGGTGGCTTCGTCGCAATAAAAATGGAACAGACACGTGACACGCGAAGCGGAACGAAACGAGAAACGGAAGCGACGGTAGGGATTATTTATTTTGCACGACGACCGCAATCCGCGGGGATATTTTCCGCGAGACGCCCGGCCAAACTGTCTGGAAAACGAGGAAAAATTACATCGGTGAAAAATAATAGAGTGCGATCTAGCTCCGGTCGAAGGCTGTAAGCGGTATGTACGTACCTGTTCCAAGAGACAGTGACGGCGATATATAGAATTGCCGATTAGGGCCGACGGAAGGAATATGACAAGAAGAAGATCACACGCAGTTGTGATATTATTTGTAGACGGTAAATCATTTAATTTCGTATTTGAAACGTTTATAACCATATTAGCGCGCATTTAGAGTTTATGTTACATAAAGAATTTTAAGACTTGTTAGAATCTAACATTATAAATGCATTCTACAATAAATATGAGACTTATGATGTTCAAATAATATGTTTATATGTCATAATGTTTACATTTTGTATGTATATACGATCGCATTAAACTGTTACGGGAAATACCACGGGAACGTACCGCGCAACGAGTATCATTGAAACTTATTACTTTCCATCACAAGGTACTTGAGTCACGTCAGAACTTCCGTCGGCGATGACAACTTAAATTGAAGCGAATATCTCGGATATTGTTGTTTTCATCGCGCAAAAAGCACAGTAATTCCAAACTCGCAATTGAACCCGGGCTTGCCCGCGTTTACGTCAACGTCACGAATCCGAACACTTCAGCCGTCGTAAACATCCTAAAACGGAGATATTTCGCCGAGCAATCCCGTTTCGCGCCAACTTATCGCGTAACACCGTTTCACCTGTTTAATTTAGCGCCCGAAATAATTTACATACGGCAGGACGAGAGGGATGGGCTACGCTCGCGCAATAACATCTCGAAGATGAGCCGTGTGCTGCGCCGCGCCGGGCGGATGCATCGTACGTGCAGACATGTATCCCGGGGAGGGTTGCACCACCCACCCTCTGACGGTACGTCTCCGTGCCCGACGACGTTCCTGCTAGAGGGTTCGTAGGATCCGACATAACCCCCGAGGTCGTAACGGTAAGTCTCTCGGCGTGAGGACCCGAAATTAATAACGCGACCCGGCGCAAATACGGCGCACATAATTAAAGCGATATTACGATCTAGAGCAGCCGCAGTATCGTCTACCGGCGCTGCCTGCGCCGAAGATGTTATTTAGCCGCGCTCGCCGAATTTGGGCGGTGAAAGCACAGGTATTACGTTCTGATTCGCAACTTGCCCGCGGCTCATCAAGAACATGATTAGGCGGTGCATACAAGACAAGAGTGCGTTACACAGGCGTAAACAATATATCAGTGAACATATTTTGCACACAAAAACAAAATTAAAGATGTACGATAAAAAATATATAATAAAAAATATTATATCATTAAGATATCAACAAAATTTTCTCGTTTAACTCATTAAAGAAAATGAGGCATATAATTTTAGTCGAGTTTCTCTGGTGATAAAATGCAGTCATTTTCATGAAGGGGGAAACTGCAGGAAGATCTTCAGACATGTAGGACGTGCGTGACGGTAATCGCAGAGACGACAGACTTGGTAAAAGCCCGCTAGAGTAAAGTAGGTCAGGGTACGAACGGTACGTTTAGGGTGAATGAAACAAGACAAGAATAAAAAAAAATACTAAGCGAAAGAAACAAGAAAAACGATAAAGGATGGAAGTAGTAAGATAGAGAGAAAGAGAAAGGGAGCACCGGCTCTCAAGTTTTATCTTTCGGAGTTTTTTTTTTATTACTAGCAGAAAGATTTCAAAGTTTCACGAAACGCGGGTGAAAGTTCATGTATCTTTTTAGAATCGTATTAAAGTCAACGAGATACATATTTAAGCTGAAATTACGGAAAAATTTCAAATGTTATTTAATCTTCTCTTTTGTTTTTAATAAAACGAACGCGAGAACATGAATTATGAAAGATATCTAAACGATTTAAGATAACCGATTGTGCCGTGTGTTTCCTTTGCGGATTACATGTGCAATTCGTACGTAATTACGTTGTATTTCTTATTCAAAGGCGCTGCCGCTCGCTATTGAGAATCGCTGCCGCTAAGAGACAGGGTGCAACCCCTGATGTATGGGATACTCCTCCGCGGGTGTTTCTACACGGCGGCACCGTCAGGGAAATGTTACCCCATAAAATATATCTCGAGCGTTGGCTTATGCCGCGCGAAACCCAGCAAGATGTTTCTATTTCATAGAAACGCTCGTCTTCCGGCTTAGCAGGGCACGTGAAGGGTAGCATGACGAAAGGCCGGGACGTTGATAGGGCTAGACTGTAAATCACACGGGAGCTATTCGATGTCTAGCTACGTCCCGCAATTCCGTCCAACGAGTTTGCTAGCACTACTCAACGTTATCGCACAGATTTTGTTGAGGGTAGAAACGGGCCCGTTTAGACGACAGGGAGTTTAAGCGCGTAACCCTTCGCTATGCGCAACGTATCTTTCTTTTTTACCGTTTTTTGCAACTAATATGTTTGAAGTGGCTTTAGAAACATCAGATATGTTTTACGTACATATAAGTTTTGTTTTTGAAGTATTCCGGAATTATCATTGAATAAAAAAATATTGAAATTAATATAAAAGTGAGATAATATAAAAACAGAAATACGAAATATTTAAAAAATAAATAAATTCTGAATATTCCGTTTGACTGTGCGCACGATAATACTACGTCTCAATAGTTTCGAGGAATTACTGTAGGGGAAGAAGCAAGTTATATCCACGTCATAGAAGTGTAAGCCGACTGGTTGCACAGGGACAACGAGGTAAGGGAATAAGGACGCGATAGAGACGGATCATAAATCACGCACCAACCATTCAATGTGGCGTGCCTATATTGTACGCTACCTCTGGGAGATATCGTTATCATAGTGACTCTCAGAGCGGGAGAGAACAGTGTTTTACGAATAGATGCACCGAAATAAACTTTCGTTAAAATATCTGTCGTGCCAGAAAAATAACAACGTGTATAATTCCATTAATTTATTCGAGCCTTTTGCTGTCCATGCAAAAAAATGCGGCCACGTAACAAAGTTGTATAAAGTAAATATGACGCGAATAATAAATGCCAGTCGGTACGCAGAAAACGTCGACATATTGAATTCGCGTACAACTATAAAATCTTAAACGTCATTCTGTTATTTGTCCCTTCCGTTCTTCATGAGAAGCTTATCTCTCTGCTGGTCCATCATCCCTCCACGATAACATTTTCCCGTATCCTTAACGCCTCGCAGTATGAAGCTACGTGAAACGTCGGCAAGGATCTCGTAAAGTGCACGAAAATTCCACGGAATCCTGGAAAAATTTATGGTCCGGATGTTTACCAACATGGAATTCTCTCAGGCACTCCTGGACAGTATGGGGTAGTATAGAACCACCTCCTTTCGCCCTCGCTACTCAGGGGGTGGCTATTAGTAGTAATTACTGAAGCAATAAGTCTCTGCCTAATATTTCTCTCCTCTAGCCTTTCATCTTTGCTCCTAGAGACGGTATTCTCCACTTTTGTCGTCTCTACAAAGTATGAACCATCCCTCTTTATCTCGGCGTAAAGTTCCCCTTATCCTTACTTCAAATTACTTGACGTCTCAAATATGAGTAAAGTAGAGATATCTTTTACATATTTTATACAACAATTCTCGGAAGAATTGCACGAATCTAATATGAATTCTTAATTCTAAAAGCACAACGCGGCTTGCCACAAGCAATGTGGAAAGCTTCAGCGTGAAAAATATATGTTTCAATTTTGCGTAAAGAATAATACATCTTGTAAGAGTGCATATAAAACAAACAAAAATTAATTAAATTTAGCGCATCAA